CTAGTTTTCTGTTCCTTTTGCCAGGACTCCTGTATTGACCTGGCAACTGATTTCCCCACCTGCAGAAACTTAGTCCCTTTCTGTGGTATCAAATATGCTTTCATCATGTTGACCTTCCTCACAGAGTATTTCTCTTATACCAGCATGTTGTGGGTTCCAATTCCACTGATCTCTCTCTCTCTCTCTCTCTCTCTCTCTCTCTCTCTCTCTCTCTCTCTCTCTCTCTCTCCCTCTCTCTCTCTCTCCCCTTGCTCTCCCTCCCTCCCTCTCAGCCTTCTCTCTCTGTCTTCTCTCTGTCTCTGTCTCTGTCTCTGTCTCTCTCTCTCCCTCCGTACAATTTCCTTTTTTAAGGTACCATGGTTTACAAGACTCTGAATGGTTGCCTTTCACGCATAAGTCATTTCTAGTACCCCAACATTGTCCACTTCTTCCACCATTGTCCCAGCATCTCTGCTTCCCTCCTGCATCCTCCCCCACTGACCCACTGATCTCTTGTGGAACTTCTCTGACCTTTAACCAGACCGCTCACCCCTCCTTCCGCCCCCATCTTCTCTCTGCTTCTTTCCCTCCTAGTCAGCCTGAAGGTTTGGCTCTGGGGCCAGTGCTTCCTGGAATCCCACTTATCCTCTGACCTCATAAACCAGTATGATCTCTGACTTCCTCCGAACAACCCTGACATTCTTTGCCTTGCTCCTCAGACTTTCAGCGCAACCAGCTTGCATCAGAGGGTCAGGTGGTATTCCCTTCCTCTGGCCCGGAGGAACAGTGGAGACAGAGACAAAGCTGACCTCTTTAGCATGTCAGGGTCATGAGTCCTGGCCTGTGAGAGTCGGCCTGGCGCTGTCGGAGAAGCAGGGTTTCAGGCCTCACCCTATGGGTTTTCCTTTGGCCTCTCCCTCCCAGCCTTTCTATAATCTGGGGCAAGTTATTTAACCTCACTCTGAAATTCACTTCTCTTCACTGTAGAAGCAGAACTGTCCCAAGTGTTTACTTTGAAAGTGAAGTGAGCTGCCATCCATCGGTACAGTGTATCAGAGTCTGGCTTTTCAGATGCTCAGGAAAATGCATGTCAAAGTTCTCCCCATTCAGAGGCCAGAGTGATAGCTCAGTGGGTATGGTACAGCATCTGCCAAGCTCGAGCTGACCCGGATTTGATCCGCGGCATCTCATAGGGTCCCCCAAGCACTGCCAGGAGCAATTCCTGAGTGCAAAGTCAGGTGGAAGCCCTAACTTTGAGCAACGCCGGATACGGCCCCAAAACAGAAAAGTTCTCCCTTTGAGGGGTCAGGGTGATAGTCCTGTGGATAAGACATTTGCCTTGCACACGGCTGTCCCTGGTTTGATCCTGACGTTCCATATTGTTTCCTGAGCACTGCCAGGAGTGATCTCTGAGCACAGAGCACTGCCAGGAGTGATCCCCGCGCACAGGAGTAAGCCCTGAGGATTGCTGAGTGTGCCCCTTCCCCAAAAGTCCCCCGTTTGAGCACCTCCTTCCTGTTCTCAGGTTGGAAGCCGGAGCCTTGCTAGTCCCCTGCAGGGACCCCAGACCGGTGAGCCCCTGCTCTCAGGGAAGGAGACTCGTTCTCTTTTCTCTTCTCTTTCTCCCTACCCTTCACATCTCTCTCCCCCGGTTCCACTTCCCGGTGAAGTCTCGGGAATCAGGGTTTCCCCTTGCTCCTGACCCAGGCTGCGCTTGTGTCCCTGCGATGTGCTGGAGGAAGGCAGAGTTTGTCTCTTAGTGTCTGCAGCTAAGTGATTCCATCCCAGTTGTGAAGCCCAGTTCATATTCGGAAGTCAGGTGAGGTTTTAAAATTCAGGACGTGTCTAGGCCCCCTTTGCCAAGCTCTAAAGTGACCCCTCAGAAGTCCCACAGGGGGTCAGGTCACCTTGGGCTAGCTGCCCCAGGACACTGCAGAGTTGTTGGCAGGAAAGGTGGCATCGAGACCATCAAGGAAAGAGTCTGTGGGCTGAGTGGCTTGAGCCATCTGAGAGGACAGTGCATGGTGTCCACGCTGTATGTCTCTCTTCCCCTCTTCTGGCTCCCTTGACATTTTTACAAATATTATCAAGCCCATTTTTCCAGGGTAGAATGTAATGGATCAAGTGACAAATGTGAGTGTCACTGAATGTCGGTCACGAAGGAGCCGAGTGACCTTCTGCAGCTGGTTGAGTGTCCTCTCTCCCATCCTGTCAGTCTGTCTGTCCTCTCCGTCAGGTGTCAGCCTGAGCTCACGTCCTTGCTGCTGTGCTCAGGGGCACAAACTGTGACCTGGAACTTGTGAAGATACTCAAAGTCTACACCCTGACTAGCCTTGTCCCTGTGGTTAGTGGACAAGAAGGAGGGCTTTAAACCACAAGCGGCACAGATGTCCTATAGACCGGACAGGTCTCTCAAGATATGACAGAGATGCAGATGTACCCACGGGTCATCTCTGCACCTCCTACCTGGCATGTTTCATTAGAAACAAAGTGATGAAATATAAAGGGAAATTCAGCACATGAGTGGACTTTAGAAAGCAAATTAAGGAAGAGGGCCCAAATGGTGTTAACAAGAACTTTGACACAGATTGTCAGGCCTAAACAATTGTTTTGGATACAGAGACCTCACCTCCTTTAGAGTCTGGCCTTATACATGTTTGGATTTCAGAAAGCATAAGTGACTTTAAGCTTTATAGCACTTTATAGCAACAGTGACTGTACACAGACTACTGTCTGTGGGTGCCCTGGGTTTGATCCCTAACAACTGCATGGCTACCAAAGCATCAACAACATCCACCCCCACCACAAAGCTGGGAGTAGCCCCCTGCTACCATCTGGTGTGGTCCACAAAACAAAACACAACAAAACTTGGGAGGACGATAGTTCCAAGGGTTGAAGCACTTGCTCAGCATGGGGGACACCTGAGTTTGATCCTTGCCCCTGCTTGGTCTCTTGAACACTACCAAGAGTTATCCCCAAATTTAGAGATGGCAATAGCACCTGAAGCTTCCCCCTCCTGTCCCCCTGCACTGCCTGAGCTCTGCCAGCTGTGACCCCCCAGTAAGAAAAAACAAGGGCTGGAGTGATAATACAGCAGGTGGGGCATTTGCCTTGGATGCAGCCAACCCTGGCTCGATCCCAGGCACCCTGTATGGCCCACTAAGCGCCACAGGAGTGATTCCTGAGCACAGAGCCAGGAAGAAGCCTTGAGCACTGCTGGATGTGGTCCCCAAAACACCACAACAAAGAGACTACTGTGTCAATCCCCTTCCCAACCATTTTTTAAATTTAATTTCCCTTTTCTCATGACCCACAGTTTGCACAGGTACCTGAGCGCTAACCTTTCACTCATCCCCCTTTTCTATTCTTTCCACCCTGTAGAAGTCTGTGCATCTTCTTGGATATTAATTTGAGCTTAGGCCACACCCCCATTAGACTTAATTTCAGTAGCTTTCCCTGCCTCAGAGATTTTCCTCCTTCTCCTCTTTAGCTACTAATCCCACCTGTGGACCCTCCTGAGGAAGGTGTGGTTCTCCATTCAGATACCGCCGAATGATGGCTTGGTGTTGTTGGTCTTTTTGGTGGCCTGTCCATTGCCCAGTGCCTCTGTTCAGGGATCTGTTCAGGGCTGGCATGGCACGCCTTCATCCAGAGTGGCGTGGGATGGTGGCTTGGGGGTTTGTTTATAAACTTGGGGGTCTGCTCATTGTGTATTTTCAAGACATCTACCAGACCCAGTAAGGCCTGACCTCTATTCCTCACATTTCGCACTGCATATCACCCCAAGTTGCTGGGCATGTTTTGTGGTCCTTTTGCTTTGTAAACTCTGTGTTTCTCTTCCAGGAAGGGCTCCTTTCCACTCCTTGCTTGTCTTCCTCATTTCCTGTCCAGACCTCACATGTTCAGAGGCCCTTTCATTCCCTTGGCCTTCCTGTCCAAGGGCTGGGTTGGAGGCTCACAAATCCACAAGCTCGCAATTGTAGAACGACTTCAGCCTGGGACCTCTCAGACACTATTGATTCCACCTGCCCGCTTGCTTGAGTGTGGTTCCGAGAACCCGTCTCTCATCTGGGCAGCTCTCTATCCGGCAGGGTTCTCAGCAGCAGGGGCAGCAGACTCTCAGGAACTTCTGCCATACCAGTGAAAGTTGCTGTTTTGTAATTTTCCTGATTGTGCCTTCTTCTTTAGGATATGAGCCTCTGTCCACATCTATATCCATGCCCATGGCTTTACCTCTCAAACCAACACCTCAGCACAGTGTCTACTGCTTATGATTTTGTCCTCTTTCAGCTGAAGTTTGCACCCATGTAGTTGCACCACTAATTTTGCAGAGTTCTGTAGTATTGATAAATGGGATTTATCCATTCAAAAATAGATCCCGCACAGCTACTGTGAACACAATCTCTGGAGACCCCAGCTCAAAAGTGATACTGAGAATTACATCTCCTATAGGAATTGTCTCTGAAAAGCACAATTGGTTTGAAAACCCAGCTGTCCGTTAGAGGAGCAGCCAGTTTTAAGGTAAAGGAGCACCCAAGGTCTTTAGGTGATTCAGGGTGAGAAAAAAAAATACCTCACCAGAACCTGGGAATGGAGAGCATAGAATGAGTAATGTGCAGTTGAGAACTAAATGTAGATCATCCAAAGCTCTCTCTAAGGATCAAAGTTAGAGAAGCCGAGGGAATGCCATTGAAGGAAGGTTTAAGATCAAAACATGGAGCATTTTTGTTGACTGCAGCCAAGAATGTGGTAGCCTTGGTGAATACTTATGGAAATAAACTGATAGGTCCATGTCCATTGCGGGGGGGGGGGGGGGGCAGGAAGGGCAAGTATGTCTTCCTGTTGTCAAATATTTATATTGTCAACAATGAACATGTCAGAGTTCATTGCTTTTTATTTGGGATATGCTTGCCATATAAATTCAAGAAACATGTTAAAGGCAACAGTGAAATATGCACTCGTTGATCGTTACTCACAGAACTTAACTGATACTTCTGTCTTTCTTTCCATTTTTGTTCTAGCACCAATAGCTGCAGGAACTGGCCCCAATTTTTCTCTCTCAGATTTGGAAAGTTCTTCATACTACAGCATGAGTCCAGGAGCAATGAGGAGGTCTTTGCCCAGCACATCATCTACCAGGTAACTTGGTGGTTTTTAACGAGCTTTTGCTTCGGAGTCACATACCGTGATTTTTAACTTTGGGCTTGCTCAGCACCAAGCAAGGTACCGAGGGCCAGAGAAGACACTGGAGAAGTGGGTTTGGCACCAACATCATTTCAGTCTTACTGAGAAGAGAAAGCAAATGCACAGGCGAGCAGCAGTATATCAGGCTCCAGTAAGCAGTGAGCCGGATTGTGTGGCATCCGCTTGAAGCGTTCAAGAACCCTTGAACTTGATCCAAAAGAAATCACTTGTTCTCAACTGTAGATGTTGGTGAGAGTTGGCGGAGATGGAAGGGAAAGGAATGTCTTTCTGGGCATGTCAAAACACGAATGCAGGCTGGAGGAAGATGGACAGGGGACTGCATTGCATGTTCACAGGAAGTTAAGGGTGAGGTTCAGTGAGGGAAAAGGAGTATTTGTTTGACTTGCTTGGTTTAAAGAGTGCATTGGTAATACCTTCCCAGATATTACAGCCTCTACCCTTTTTCTATGAAAACCCAGAGATCTCAACTCAATCTGTCTCTCTCTGTCTCTGTCTGTCTGTCTGTCTGTCTGTCTGTCTCTCTCTCTCTCTCTCTCTCTCTCTCTCTCTCCTTTGAGAGGTGAAGCTTGTGAATACAATCTGTGATAACTGGGTGGGGACCAGAGACGGACCCCCTTACTCCAGGAGCCCTTTAGAAAGTAGAGCCGGAAGAATACAACCAGATAAGGATTTGGGGGTGCTTGATACCCTGGAGGTCACAAAGCCAAAACCCAAATGAAGCATTTTGCAAGATCCTGTTGTCTCTAGATAACCCGAACCAGAGAGAGGGGATTAGGCATTAAAGCCATGGTATTCTTTTACAAATTGGCTTTAGCACTGGACTGTGACAAGAAAGAAAAGAATGGAGCAGAACGATCTTTGAGCTCTGTGTACTTTGTAGGAAAAAAAATAAATAATGTTTGACAAAGGTATATTCCTCCTAAGCAAGTACCAGAGTTTTATGGAAAACAATGGCTTGGTTATAGACATTTCCTTGGTAGAGACTCATTCTAATTTTGACTCTATATAGTTTAGTTACCATTATGTTTAAAAACAAACCAAACAAAAAGCAAGCCATGTCATCATTATTAACACTGCAAAAAAGTGAAAGAAAACATTATTCCCTAGATCTAACCACGAAATCCTGCCACTGTCTTTCATGTCCTTTAAATATTCCCTTATTTAGCTCACGGTAGTACTGGTTCTTCGGGGGCAGAAAAAGCCACAAAGCTAAAATCCTCATATTCTCAGAGTACATTTCTAATACAAGAATGAGCTAGTGAGCACATTTGGGTGTACTTACATCGGGAGGATTTTGAATGTTTGCTCATGGGAGAGACGTGGTGTGTAACTACACTTAGCGAATAGGAAAAGGTCTTGCAGAGGCTCATGTGCAGTGATTTTTCAAAGTCGGGGCCTGTTTGTTCCTCACATGTGGACTTGGCGCCAACCGATAGCACTGTTCCCTTGCCCCCGTCCTTCCACGAACTCCTGCAGCCAGTTTTGCTGCCTTTCCTTGTGACGCTCTGAGCGGAAACCTGATTATTAATGCCATTTAAAAGGCTCGTGTCAGTTTCATGGTCTGCAAATAACTGGCCCTGATAAGGAGCTCATTATAAGCAGCATCAGTAGTTAATAACTCAGTAATATGTTTGTTTTACTCTCATTAGGCTCTCTCTGAGGAGGTTATTTTTTTAATTGTTCTTTAAATAGATGGGCTCAGCAGAATGATCTCTGCACAGGTTAAAAGATGTGCCCCCAAGAATATCCTCGATTTACAGACGGAAAAATATGCTCTTGCTGTGCCCCTAATAAGGGGTCACCTGTGCTGTGGCAGAACATACATTGAGGGGCTGGAGCGATAGTACAGTGAGTAGGGCATTTGCCTTGCACGTGGCCGACCCGGGTTTGATTCCCAGCATCCCATTTGGTCTCCTGAGCACCGCCAAGAAGTAATTCCTGAGTGCATGAGCCAGGAGTAACCCCTGTGCATCACTGGGTGTGACTAAAAAGACAAAACAAAAACCAAAAAAGAACATCCATTGAATTCTTCAGAGTGCTTTCTTGTAGAAACTGCATTGTCAGCTATAAGACATTCTCTTATCTGCTCACACTCACAGACACCAGAAATAACCATCATCATTGAAACATGGGTCTGTGGGAACCAGAGCCAGAGTGCTATTCTTGCCCCAAGTCCTAAGTCAGACCAGATAGAAGATGAAGCCCCCTAAGGAATTCATCTGTGCTTACAGGATCCTGAGATTTGCTTTTCCCAGCTTTGGGCAGTGGCTCTGTCCTACCTCCCCAGCTGAACTCTTAAGTCCTTTCAGTGACAGATTTCACTTTTGTGGTGCTACAACTAATGCTGAAGTCCCAGGTGACCAGCCTGGGGCCTGGGATTCTAGGTCAAGTCTTACAGGCCTCACAGTCTCAAAGTAAGAGACTGACAAGTGGAAGTTTTCAGGCAGCATTCTGGGAACAACGGGGAGAGGCAGTCTGTGCTCTTGAGGGTATAAAGTACAGCTTCTAGACTTTGCATGAAGTAGGAACAAAGCCAGTTTTTGGAAGGAAGGAAATTATCTTAATTTCTAGGTAAAATCTCTAGGAACACTAGAATGAATTCCACACAGAAGAGGAGACCATATATATCCTGCCTCTTACGTAGCCAGCGAACTGGTATGTTTGTTTTCCTCAGTTGTTTCTGGGAAAATAAAATCAGTATATTTAAGTGCCAAGAGCAAAATAAATGATGGATTCAATTCTCCATTAAAAGAAAAAAAGAATGGTAGGCATTAGTGATAGGTCCTGTGGAACGATGTTCCAGGGGCCATTCCCAGCAGCACTTGCTCTGGGGATCAGTGATACGCATGCCCAGCCGTGCTGGAGACTGCCAGTGCTCATTGAGCCAGGTGGGGCTTGGATCAAAATTCGAGCCTTACACATGCACAGCAACACCTCCAGCTACCTCTCCAGCTACCAAACATTTATTTTTTTTATCCCAAAGGACTTCAAGATAGACTTTCAACTTTGTTTTTGGTTTCTTGTTTTGGGCCACACACAACAGTGTGTCAGGGGTTACTCCTGGCAGATTTTGGGAGCAGCATGGAGTACTGGATCGAACCCAAGTTGGCCACATGCAAGGCAAATACCCTACCCTCAGTACTATCCCTGTGGTCCTGAGTTTTGTCTTAGAAGCCCTCCACCTGTTCTGACTCCTGGAATTTTTTTTTTTTGGTTCCCTCCTCTCCCCTCCAGACATTTATTTACCCTCCATCAACCTCTTACAGTCTTATTTTCAAGCTAAGGTGTCAGTTAATGGCTAACAGACCTTTAAGATTTAATAATGACATGAAATGTTTACATTTTATTAGAAGAAAATCAAGGAAGTTGAAAGTCTTAGGGGAAAAAAACACATAAATTAAAGAATTATGGGCATTGGACTCTGACCTTTTGGGTTAGATCTCATTGAGTGTTGACACCTGGGCAAATCCTTGTCTTAAAGACTCACATGGTTGTTTCTAAATTGAGTTTCCCAATTCTGCAGTGTTTGAACGTCTACTCTTAGCCAGACAATGTAGTAACTTTTAGAATTGTATTTTCTTCTCGGATCTCACAGTCCCATCAGTCTTGCTTTTTATTTAATAGGAACCCTCAAGGGAATTTTTTTTGTCTCTTCCATTGGGTATTCTTCCAGTTTCAGCTTCCAAAATGATTCCAAGAGGCTTTTAGTTTTAAAGCACACAGATAATATTAGAGAAAGAGAAGCTGGCTGTCCTAGGAAAGTCAGGAGATCTGGAGCTGTGCCTGCCTTCCAGGTAGCCAGGAGTTTCATGGTGGCCAAAGCAAGAAAGGAAAACACTTGGTTTTGTCATCTGTGTTCTCCAAGAAATTTGTTCAGAGACACTGTGTCTTTTTCTCCTTCTCTGTAAGGGAGGAATTCTTTGTGTCTACCCTCTTATAAAGAACTTCTCTTAGGTGCACTTTTATTTATATACAGACAAATCCTTCAAGTGGCTATTTTTCATCTCGCTTCAAGGAAGGCCTAGCAAAGGCCAACACAACCTTTTAAAAGTCCCATTTAATTTGATGCATGCAACAACTGTGTTGCTTTCTATGGTCCAGCCCCAATAAGAATAGAACACTGCCAGCTCCAGAAATGAGAATTTCTCGCCTTGAATCAGATCATTCCCATTGCCACCATCGCCTCTTAGCCTGCTCCCAGGCTCTGGGTTTTATTTCATTCCCAGCCCTTGTCTGTTCAGACCCTGCCATCTGCACATCCCCTCGAAGGAACTTTTCTCAGAAAGGTGACAGCGTTCACTAGCATGGCAAGTTAAATGGGGTTGCTTAGAGGGCCTTTGGTCATGCCAATTGGTCCTCACCTGGGGATTTAGGTTCAGGCCTAGTATTACTCAGGGAACCACTGGGACCACAGTTGGTAGGACTGGAGCTGGGGTGGCGGGCATCATGCCTCGAATCCCACTCAGAGCCTTGCAAGTGATCGGTCATGTGCTGTGCCACTGCACTGTGGTATCCCAGTGCCCCTACTTTTGACTTTCCCCCTCGCTTGTAGGGTACAGCCAAGCCTCACAGTCTCTTCTGTGACTTCTCCCCCCACCCCTTTCCTGGGTTGCCTCCTCCCACAGCCATCACACCACATACCTGGCACTCTTCTGCCTGGGGCAGACTTTGCTGCTCAGGTTGTTTCACCCGGGAGTGATGTTTGCAACCCCCGGTGACCTACTTAGTACAGGACACCGGTTGGTCCAGCTGCTGCCCTGCCAGCACTTGGCTTCAGTCCTGGCATGCCCCTAGGGTGCTACTGTTAATCCTCCAGGGCTTGAACTGTGAGGGTGTCCCAGGTGCAGATGAGGTGGGAAGGGAGCTACCCCTATTGGGGAAGTCCTAGGTAGGGGATTAGAGACAGTGGTCCAATGCCATTGGTCATGCCTCAGTATTTTAAAATTAGTTTCATACTCTGATGTAGGTATGATGTATGTATGATGTAGGTAGAGCGTTTGCCTTGCACACGACTGACCCGGGTTCAATTCTTCCGTCCCTCTCAGAGAGCCTTGCAAGCTACTGAGAGTATTCTGCCCACATGGCAGAGCCTGGCAAGCTCCCAGTGGTGTATTTGATATGCCAAAAAACAGTAACAAGTCTCACAATGGAGATGTTACTGGTGCCTGCTTGAGCAAATCAATGAACAATGGGAGGACAGTGCTACTCTGATGTATACCCGGCATGTACGGGGCCCTGGGTTCCATCCCCAGCGCCCATTTCCATGTTCTCAGGCACTGCTCAGGGTAGCTCTGGTGTTCTCCAGCATTACTGGGGAAGCTTAAGAAAAAAGAAAATTCCCACTGATTCCCAAGTACCCTAGACTCAGCCTGACTGTCCCACAGCTGCCTCAGCCCCTGCCTTCCTCAAACTCATCTCCCGGCAGTGCACGCCTGCAGATTGCTGGCAGCTCACCGTGTCTCCTGCACCTGGCGCCATCTGGGCACCTGACTCTCTCCAGCCCCTAGGAATGCGGTCATGGGTGCTTCGAGGCTCTCTCTGGCCGCTAGCACAGTACCTGGCACACAGAAGGGACACAGCCTGATGAGTGAAAGCGTGAAAAATTCCAACACCTCATGAAGAAGCGACCCCCGCCCCCATATCCAGAGGAAATCTCCACCTTCTGGTAGCCACTGGCTCTGCTGAAGACAGGTGTGGCATTTGAGTGACTGGGCAGCATGGAGCGAGGGGCTATGGCCTTTCCCTCCGAAGCCTCCATGCCGGGGAGAACCGAGTCCTGCAGCCGGTGGGAAACAGGCTGCGTTCTGGAAATTTCTCAGCCAGAACTCTGCAGCAGTTCTTATGAGTCCCTACCTCAGGGGACTCAGGCTTTCTACTGGTATTGTCTCTGTGGAGGAAGGGATTGCATGTCCTTGTGCCACGCTCCTTTTCCAGGCCACTCCTTATCACAGGGAGGTGACAAGGCCTCTTCGGTCTCTTTTGCTCACTCTCCCGCCCCAAATGAGCCCCTTATGGTTGTGCAGCCAATATTTGTTTGAATGCACAGAATCCAAGTTGAAGATGAGAAAACATGGCATCAACAGCAAAAAGCAGTTTTAGGGTTCAGAGTTAGTCCTAGGGGTAAGGTCCTTCTGCTTTGTGTGCAACATGTGGGTTTGATCCCTAGCACACTGTATGGTTTCCCAGAGCCAGGAGTTACCCTGAGCATGGCCAGAGGTAGCCAAACCCTCCCCAAGCAAAGCCGTTGGAGCTTTTCTCCAAGGGTCTTATATCCTGATTCTTATGTGGGCTGTTAGAGGGTTTCAATGGGTGTAGGGACCTTGTCGGTGGGCTGATGCCACCGCTGGCTGTGCCCTTCCTGAGACAGAGAATGTAGATTCTATCATACAGATGCTTCCAGAAGGCTCTGGAATGGGTGTGGTCTCAGCAACACCCTCAAGTGCCAGTAAAAGCCAAACTCAGACACTTGAAACCCCACAGGCCCAAGGTTTGCGCCTGTTTGCTGGCTGTGCAGAAGTAAACCAGAGCGGAAGATCAGCCCTCACAATGGCTCCCAGTTGCCCCCTGGATTCCAGGCTGGATTTTTCTTCCAGCAGAGGTGGCCATCCTGGTGGAGGTGGTCCAGGTGCCTCCCCTGACCCCTGTTCTGCTTGCCTTTGCAGCTCCACGAAGCGCCTCAAGTCTGTGGAGGATGAAATGGACAGTCCTGGCGAAGAGCCTTTCTACACAGGACAAGGGCGCTCCCCCGGAAGCGGCAGCCAGTCCAGTGGGTGGCATGAAGTGGAGCCAGGTAAGCCGGGCAGGCGACGGGCACAGGGCTGCGAGGCAGTACCCTGTGGTGGCAGCAGAATCAGCCAGGCAGAGCACAGTCCCCGATTCTGGCCTCACCAAGCGCTGTGACTCCGGGCCAATGACCAAAGCTCTCTGGGCCTCTGTGCCCCCAGTTTAATGCTCCACTGAGAATCGTGACTGTGTCACATTTGTAATCCATCTAGAAAAAATGCCTAGCAGAGCATCAGTCTGGAAGAACAGTTTCCAGGTCCTTCTTCCCACCTTTAGCCTTAGAATAGAGGCATGTCAGCACAGAGACACACGGAACTCTGGTGACATCTTCAGCTCCTCACTCCCTTCCTCTCTGGTCTGTTAAAAGCCCAGAGTGGCACTAGATAGATGAGGGGGTTGAGGGTGGCAGTTGTTGGACATTCCATCCCCCGATTCCTCATTCCCTGTGGGCATCCTGTGCCTCTGTCCCCCAGACAGTTACACACCACAGACAGGAAAAAAAGGCCAAAGCAAGTCTCAGATGCCACGAACCGTATCCTTTTCCTTGGGGGGAAAAAATCTTCTCTTGGCTTTGCTTTGAGCTAATCCCTTCCCTGTCATTCATTCAACCGTCTTCACGGGAAACTTCCTCTGGATGAGAAACTAGGTCTGTTTCTGGGAACTCCAAGGTGACTGGGGGAAGCTCGGGCATCTGCTCAAACACCTGCTTTCAGGGAATTCACCATTGGGGGCAGGAAGCTGGCGTGGAGGCTGATTCTGCTATGGGGTTTGGGGTATGCCAAGGAGCCCCCCCCGCACCCCGGGAAAGGCTGCCTTTTGTTCTAATTAGGGACTACCCCTGCACTCAAGGGGGGTGGGGGGGGCATCTCTGAAGATCCCACACCAGGTCAGTTTCAGTCCTCACTTAGCCCGAGCCGGTTTCCCTAACACGGCGGCGGCGGTGAGAGAAACCCAGACGGAAATGAGAATGAAAGTGCTGACTCCTCCTCGCTGGGAGCAGCACCATCAGCATGACCGCAGCAGAATGAAATGCAAAGTTTATGTGCTATTAAAAAATTAAAGGAGGCAACACTTCTGCGAGCTCATTCAGAGCACACACGGGCACGTCCTTGCCAGGTCACCTGCTACTACAGTGAAAATGGGCAAATGCACCGAGTAGATGCACTGACACACGTGGATGTGTTGACCCTTTGTTGTGTGGGTGGGATTGAGATGTCTCTACTCTCTGAGGGAAATAGTTTTCTTTGTGGCATTTTGGAGGGACAGCAGGGCCTTTGACCTGGTGATGATGATGATGATGATGATGATTTTGCTTTTTGGGTCACACCCGGCGATGTAAAGGGGCTACTCCTGGCTCTGCACTCAGGAGTTACTCCTGGCGGTGCTCGGGAAACCATATGGGATGCTTGGAATTGAACCCGGGTCAGCCTCGTGCAAGGCAAATACCCTACCCGCTGTGCTATTGCTCCAGTCCCCTAATGATTGTTTTTATTTATTTATAGGAGGTGGTGGGGGTTGCACCAGGCAGTGCTACGGGACCATGTGGGATGGAACCCAGAGCTCTTGCTTGCAAAGCTGACTTAATGATTTTCGTTCAGAATCATTCCTCTCCTTACCTGCATGTTCTGATTCAAAAAGTTAAAACATCTGAATGCACCAGCGGCCCTTGCAGTCATTAAATAATCTTTTTATTTGGCTGAAGATATACACACAGTTTCTTAGAAAAAAGAAAAAAAAAATCCCAGCCCTAGTAGATTCGTATCCTAAGCCCCTTCTCCTGTTTCATGACAGAAAAGTGCTGTTTCATGGTGGACGGATGCAGGAGAACAGTGGATGAATTTACATTTGGCCAGATTCAGCACAGAGTCAGAATGAAACAGGGCCTGAGGGGACATTAAAAGTCAACTGCAGGATGTTGTACACGTTCGTGGTGACTTTGGTGTCATTAACTCACACCAGCCATTTTAAATGGATAATTTATGCCGCCAGATGGTCCTTTTTGGGGAGTTTCCATCAAGCCCAATCCCCTTTTTGGCACAGAGAACACCCGTATGTTGTTCCCACACTGATCCGGGCCCACAGAGCGTCTCCCCAGGGGTACGGTTCATTGAGTGGGAGGCTTTTAGTGGTGCGCTCATGTAAATTACCTTCAATTCGGGCAGGGAATTTTGTGTATCTGAATGCACCCGCCGTCTCTTGGTTGCCCACATTTGGGACAATTCTCTCAAGCCAGGACTGAAGGAGACTTTGTTTATGGCTCAGCTGTGACCCGGGAGGCAAGGCCTGTCCTCACTCTGCTCCGAGAGCCGTGCATCTGTTTACCTGCCCTCTGATGCTTTCTTGGGATGCCCCGGCCAAAAGAGGCCTGGAGGGTGCCATAAGAGGCAGATTTCTTGAGCAACAGGAAAGCTTTGGGAAGGAAAACAAACCAGACTTGCCGTAAATTAAACAGCCTCTTTCGAGAGTCTTTTGTAGTGTCCTGTTTTCCGTTAGATTATCTCAGCATTCTTGAGTTCGGAGCTCAGATTATCTCTGGGAAGAAGGGCAGAGGAGATTAAAGTTGATGTTCATTTAAAAACTCCAGACAAACCCAGGCCAGCTCTCGGCTGTGCTTGTTCCCTCCACTCCTTTTGGTTGCCCACTTAGCCCAGGACTGGATTCGATTGGAAGCTTTCAGACTCACTGGGTGCTGACAAAACGAGTGCTGTGAAATTCTAACAAGCAAAAAAACGCATGTGGCACAGACGCTGCTTGTGTATCTGTATAAACAGCTAAAGGCTGAAAAGCTGATAATGGGAAGCAAATAAGGTGAAAGCTAACAGGTGGCACCTCTGTCGGGTCAGACATTCTGCATCGTGCTTACATAGAGACTGGAAAATGATTGTGGGCATAATTTGTGTCCCTACTAGGTTGTGTTTGGATTTGAGTAATTGGCGTATTTTTTTATTTGGTTAAACCCAATTATACATTCTGGGTAAGGGATCTACCCTGGAGCTGTAGCTTCAGCCCCCACATGACAGCTTGGTATTAAATATATATATATATATATATATATATTAATACATATAGTATATGGGCTGGAGCAATAGCACAGCAGATAGGGTATTTGCCTTCCACACAGCAGACCCAGGTTTGATTTCTCCGTCCCTCTCAGAGAGCCCAGAAAGCTACAGAGAGTATCCTGCCCGCACGGCAGAGCCTGGCAATCTCCCCATGGTGTATTCAATATGCCAAAAACAGTAACAAATCTCACAATGGAGACGTTACTGGTGCCTACTCAAGCAATGGGAGGACAGTGCTATAGACAGTGCTATATAGTATATATACATATATATTTTTTAATATATATTTTTAAAGCATTTTTTAACTTCATAGTCTTCCCCAGTGATGCTCTGGAGCCTGGAGACTGCACTAGGTGATACTCAGCCTGTGAGGTATGCCTGACAGCTCAGGTCTCAGGCCCATGTTTGGGACTACTCAGTCTCAGCAGTCCTCAGACTATACCCAGTGATGCTCAGGGACTGTGCCAGTGAGCCCACGTGCGTCTCCCGCATGCAAGCAAGTCTCATGCTCTGGCCACTTGGAGCTAAGCTCCTTAGCCCCAAGTTTATTTTTCAAAGAATTCCCATTCTCTGATACATGCAAGGTAGGATGCCCCCAAAACTCCACCCTGTGCAGAGAGGCAAACAGAATTATAAAGGCACCAGCATTGTCCAAGACCCAAAGTCAGTGCATCTGTGGATCCAGACCCAGCCAAGCTCTGATCTTAGAGTCTAAGTTTGATTTGCTGTATTCAATAATCTCTCTCACCGTCAGTGTACAGCTTGTATTTTAAGGTGTCGTGCTTGTCTTCAAATTTTAAAAGTATTGTAATAAAAGTTCCCCTCCCAACTTATTTTCCAGAATCACCCAAGAATTACCACCTCTCTTATTCCAAACCTGTATTATACATGGAAGATCATGGTGGAAGGGATAGATAATAGATACTATTAAATACATATGGATATGTTTATATATATAGTATTGGGGCTGGTGATAGCACAGTAGGTAGAGCGTTTGCCTTGCATGCGGCCGACATGGCCAACCTGAGTTCGATTCCTCTGCCCCTCTTGGAGAGCCTGGCAAGCTACCCGTGATGAATTCGATATATCAAACACAGTAACAAGTCTCACAGTGTTACTGGGCCCACTCGAGCAAATCGATGAACAATGGGAGGACAGTGACAGTGACATATATAGTATTGACTGTTAACAAAATGAAATGTTCTTTAGGCCCCTCAATCTACATAATTTTTAACATTCAGGCCTTTGTTGTTCAGTCTTCCATTATCTTGTATTTAATAACACCACTTTACTTCTATTTACTTGAAGTACTGTAGGTTACCATGGTCTGTCTTCTAGAAATATATTGTCCAGGACACTGAATTTTGTGTACCTAGATCCATCATAGAGTATGACATCTAATAGGTCCTCAGTAAGTATTGAGGGGTTGAATGAATGAATGCATGCAGACTGAAAAGCTGAAATAAACCATAAAGTAGATATTGCCACCATTTCTGCTCCAAAATTTTTTTACATCATTGTAGATTTGTAGGCTGTTGTTCTGTCAAAATCAGTCATTAGCAAGGAGTAAGTAGCACAGTTGCTAAGGCTTAGCACCCAGTTCTCATTGTCAAATGATAGTAGATGAAACCTTATTTCAAGTTGCCTTTACCTTTTGAAAAAAAAGCGTTAAGAAAAATTTTCTGACATTTTAATGATTTATTTGAGGGATGTGGGCAATACCTAGCTATGCTCAGGGACTACTTCTGGTTCTGTGCTCAAGAGTGATCCCTGGTGATGCTCAGGGGGGATGATATACAGTGCCTGGAATCCCATCAGGGTCTGTGACATGCAAGGCCAGTACCTTAAGCCCTGTACTCTCAGCCTACATATATACACACACACATATTATATTTATATATATGTATAGTTATATATAGTTATGTATATATAATGGTTATACACA